GTGCTACCTATGGACAAGGCCTATTACTGCTACCAATTATTCCACTAGGACAAATAGTAAAGATTTGTGATGTGTATCTAAAGATACCAAGCCTGCTACTGACCCACCCAGAAGTTAATATGGTTACTAATTATGGAATTTCTGATTTTCCAGTTTGCTTTCTAAAATAAAATTAGGAAATTGAATACAAAAACTAATTACTTCAAAAGAATGTTAAGCTTGCAAAGTTACATACCTCAAAAATTAAGAAATAGGAGAATTAAGACAGCCTATACAATCTTAGTTCTGCATTTCCTTGTGCCTAGATATTATGGCAGAGCTCCATTACATGATCATATACTGATCTTTCCACAGGACCCCTGCTTTATTCAGGCACGACACATGGTAATCAGAAAATGAATGAGGGCTGTGTAATGTCTGAGGCTGTATGACTCCTTTCTCCTTTGTTACAGAAGTTGGAAAGTATGTACAGAATGAGGCAGGTGTATCTTATGGTGAAGCTGTACACTTCTGCACTCCAATCACATATACACTTTTTTCCTTCCATTACTCAGAAGTATATAGAGTTCAATTATTACAGTCTACAATGAAAAATATTACTATTTGCAACGCATTAAAAATATTATTACAGTTAATTAAAATGTGCATGTTTCCTAATGCTTTTATGATTGTTCATACCTTACCATATGACCAGTGTATTGGAACGGACATACAATAATTGTCTTAACTGGTTCTAATAATTAAAAAGAAAACAAGAAATCTAGTTCAACTTTTCCACTCTTTTCATAACCTGACCAAACACTGATTATAATACCATGCTGGGAACAAAGACTTTGTTGTAGATTTTCAAATGGAATTATCTTAGCAGCTCGTCTATTTTTTATGCTGTTGAATGCAGAGGAAAAAAGTAAACAGAACAAAAGCTGAAAAATTACATTTAAAAACACAAGATTTAATCTATGCAGTTACAAATACAGATAGAATACAATATAATCTAAAATATTTTAATCTAATGGTATCATTTGACAAGCCACTATTTACATCTCTAAGCTTCCATTAGTTTATCTGCAGCCCAACTAACATACACACCTGATTGATTCAGTATCAATGTGCACTGGGGCTATCCTCTCCAGAAGGAACTTAATCATTTCCAGGAAAGGATTTGTAGGTTGTTTGGGATTGCCCAACTTCTTTGTAATTTCTCGCTGCAATATATATTTGAAATAGGTTAATAACCAATTCAGTTACCATAATATCACAAATGTTGTGAAAGCTATTCTTACCACACATCCTTCTGCCTGCTTGCAAGAACAAGTTGGGCTAACAAGCATTTCCAGCTGGTTTCTTATCTTCTCATCATCTTCCAGAACTTGTGTGAATTTCTTCATAAAATCCTGAGCCTTACCAGGATCTGGCAAGTTTCCTTTAAATATTAAAACCTTAAAGTTAGCATCAACTTGTCACATTTTAATTGTTAAGCAAATGTTTACTTGCTTGGTAAAAGCACTGAAGAGGAAAAACCAAATATAAAACC